CTATATAAATATTAAAAAGATAAATGTAAATTATAAAATAATATAGAAAGTTCATATGAAGTTTTGTATCAGTAATATCAAATAATGTTCTTTCCAAATAAATGAAAATTATGACCCTGTACAGATACAAAGTCACATTACCTCCTATCAGAAACCACGTAATGGCATACTTGGAGTCAGAAGAGGTTTCTCTTTTGATTCCAGCATTAAGATTATCATCATACAAAACATTACAAACAGCTTTTCCCAGGTTACTATGTTCACTCGGATACATTGATATTGTACATCCAGAAACTTAGATGGCGCGGGACGGGGGGTTGGGGAGCGGGCAGTGGCAGCATTTTGCAGCCAGGGCAGGCGAGTGTGACTGCTGCCACGGCAGCATGGAGCCCTGGCAGGAGCTCAAACTCTGTTTGTTGGCTGCCCACCTGCATCTCACTACACCGAGTGCTAGGGAATGGGAGTGTCTGTATGACTGACACAAATGTTTGAGTTGCTGGCACCACAGTGAGAGATGCAAGATGATGTGAAAATCTGGTCAACCAGCTTGAGCAGGGGGTTGGACCAGATGACCTCCAGAGGCCCCTTCCAATCTCAACCCTTCTGTGATTCTGTGAATATCTTACAAACCTGAAACCCATTTGGGTTTTAATAGAAAAACTTTATATCCCTCAGTGCCAGTGAGTTTGTTTGGCTTTATCTGACTGCCTAGTTTCCCTGAGCACCTTTGTGAGCAGAGCAGCCACTGCTCCATGTAGCAGGGAACACTGTGAAATTGTACCAAGGAGTCTGACTACATTGCTGCTTACCAAAGTGCACGTGCAGCTTTTTGGTGGGGGGGCATGTGTGTTAATGTTGCTCTTCAAAGTCTCAGCTCTCAGTTAAAAGTCTGTAAAGTTCTCTTTCAAAGAAATCTGGAAAGCTTATTTTCCCTTCTGCTGTGAGAACAGCCTTCTGAGCTTGCCTGAGAATAACAGTGGGGGCACTCTGGTCTGAGCTTTCAGAAACACAAAAAATGCTTGGCTCTGGTTTAAAAACAAACAAGCAAGTAAAAGACCAATTTTTTTTAAAGAATCTGCAAGCCTGATTCTAAGGCTGGTGACATGCTGACCCCTTCTGTCAGAAGTAGAATTTTCTTCAGAAAAAAAAAAGTGAATTGCAGACCTGCCCATTACCTGCATTTTTCTGAGTGCAGCCACCTCAGAAGGGAGACTTAGCTGAACTTTTTTAGGAGAATATCCATCAAAATACTTCAATAGAATACCCACTTAAACACATCCAAATGTCTGTTTAGCATAACAGCTGCATCCAGCTAGATCATAACAATGATGGGCTCTGAGCAGGTCCCTCTACAGTTGAGGAAATCAGAAGGTCCTAAAGTAGCCTCAGCTAGACCTTTGTTCCACTGCAAGCATTAAGGTACCACAACCCCAAAGAGTTATTCAGTCATTCATTTCTACCATCATACTGTTGTTTTGAGACATGGATTTTGTTTGGGGTTTATTTTGTTTTGTTTTATTTTATTTTATTTTAGATATAGCTAAATAAAAAAGTGCAGAACCTTATAGTTAAAAAGTAGGTTTTGTTTTATTTTATTTTATTTTAGATATAGCTAAATAAATGCAGAACCTTATAGTTAAAAAGTACTATTATACATCTCATCAAAATGAATGCTTTTTAGTTACTATGAATGATTAGGTCTGAGTTTACAAGTTTTGCTCACGTTTTATTAAAGATATTACAGTCAGACCTGTTATATAGGACAGAATTTAATTGATATTCATACATTGGTAGATGCAGACAAAAATAAGCTCACCTACTTGCAGTCAAAGCTATGTAGACATGACTCAGCTGTGCCCTGGAGGCTACACAGTGGTTTAAGTTATGAATTGTGCTTCAGTAGAGTTTTTCAGCTGAGGTGTAGCCTCTTACACATATGGATTTTGGATCTGATTTGCATCTCTGCTTGAATCTCTACCAAATATAAGTTGTGAATGCCCTGCTCCTTTGTAACTGAGGATATTATTTCTTAATCAGCATTTTAACAGTCACTAAAGAATACGCATAACTGAGCAGAAAATTTCAGGAATGTGAATACAAGTAAAAATAGGCAGAATGTCCACTTCAGGGAACAGAATGATTTGCCCCTGTTCATCTTCACTGATGCCTGGTATTTCCAAGCAATTCATTCAGTTACCGTTAACTTAGCAGTTTCAGCTCATAACCTTACAGAAATACAATTCTGGCTGGAGGACAAACTGTTGTTCCATGACTCTTATGTTACATTTTCAGTCTTAACATTTTCTTTCCAAAAACTCAGAGCTTTTCTAAATTTATATATTTAGGTTTCTTAGCAGACTTTGCAAAATCAGTGGAATAAGTGGCAATAAGCCATTTGCGTGTTTGGGATACCTGCCACCTCTTTGATTTTTCAATTACGTCCCATCCCTAAAGTAACTTAATACAGTCGTATAAAAGCTAAAATTGTCTAGATTTTCAGAAGTGCTTCAGTTTCACAATGAGATTTACAGCCAATTCATAATTCATGCTACAAGAGCTCTTGCACACAATGGAGTTGCTGCCCTTTAAACAACTTGGTTTGTTTTTTCTTCTTGATTATTATTCCCTCCAGTACTTCTGATTTTAGAATATGTTAGTGGTTTTAAAATATAGGATAGAAGGGTGAATTTGATAGTCTCTTCCTTCATTAGACAGAATTCAGTAAAATCTCAGATTCTCAGCAGAGATTCAGGCAAATGGACACCTTTTTTTGTTTTGTTTTGTTTTACTGAGTAAAATTATCTTGAAATGTTTCTTTCTGGCTCTGCAATGCAGTGAAGTAACAAAAGGCATTGCAAAAGTGCAGTTAGCAATTTGAATGAAAGGGTCTCTAGAGAAATGTGAAAGTCTGAACAGCATCTATTAATAATGGCTGGCATTGCTGAAAAGCAGCCATGTAGCACGTAAGTGTAAGGAAAGGGAGACTGGAGGCTGATCCCAGGAGGTGTTTCTCTCTGCAGACTCTCTTTGCCGTTATTATATGTCTAGGCTAACATTTTGTGATTACCTACCTCACAGCATCACTAGAGTACTGAGAGAGATTAATGATGCGTAAGCCAGGAAGTAATGTACTGCCCTTGGCAGAGAAGGGTCCTGTCAAGCGAAGTATGTGGGCTTGATCTGACTAGTTCGGGGAGCTTCTCCCTGCAATTCAAGGATAACAGGATTAAGCCCTCCTAATGGGCCCTGTATGCAACATAAGTAAATAGAAATGGACAGCAAGATGCATGTTGGGGAAGCAGTGAAAGTGGTTCCTACAAAAGATATCTTCTGTCTCATTTGAAGAACAACTGAGGCTTTTCCGAGGACTCCAGGAGGGCAGAAATGTAATGACTTCTGTGACCCTGCCCACCTTTGACCACAGCTGCCTCCTCCCTGCAATGAGGAAGCACTGGGAGGTTCTTCAGGGAAATAGGACCAGTCCCAGCTATGTTCCTGCTCATTCTTGAGACACTAAGCACTGATTATTGCTAGGCTGTGGATGAGCAGCCTAAGGACTTTTACCTGAATCTTTCTGTCCTGTTTCAAGTTACTCCCTGTCTCTTGAGAGATAAGAAGAAACAAATAAAAGGAAACAAGAACAGAAATGGATTGTTGTCAAGAGCAAACTTTTGTCATTAATTTTATTAGAACACTATGCTCTATCTCTTTTTATTACTGCCAGTGCTATAAACTCCTTTTTAGATCAGGATGTGTCTTGCTAACCACTTGTCAACAGTACCACTTTCTTGCACACTTCATTAATACCAAGCTGGGCCCTTTCCTTCTTCTCACACTGATTTTATTCTTCTCAATGGGAAATGGTTGTAAATATTAGACCATTGGTAAGGACAGGAAACACATGAATTAAAATGGACAGAAAAAGCACTTCTGTACCAATACCCAGCTCTAAAGCTGCAGCCTATTCTGATGAAAAGGTTATATAGAATAGTAACTCTCTCTGTCATGGACCTTTTTTCTCTATGTATTTAAAATATTTTGTGTTCTGTTTTCCTCTCAAAAGCCATGAAGATTGCAAAAGGGAATATGTTTCTATTCCAGCTCATACATTAGACATATCAACGTTAGTGAAGTTCGTTCTGCACAGTCTTTATTAACAGTGCATGCCTGAGCCTGATGGAAACAAAGCTCAATTTTCATGTTGTGTTTGTTACGGTGGTAGTCAGAAAGAATTTTACACTTATAAAATGAACAAACAAGGAGCCCTGATTTATCATTTTATATATCATTCCCCAGAGGAGGACTATGCTCAATATAATTTCCATTTAATTTTCAATATGATTGATTATTTATCATTTCAATAGTCATTATAGGTATAATTTCATTTCTGATGTTAATGAAAAGCTCTATCTAATTTCTGATTATCTGCCTCAAATTGATGAACTTGTCCTTACCTCTCCAGATAACTATGTGTGGTAGTGAATTTATCTTTATTTTAAAGCTCTATGATGCTTTCTGAAAAACTGAAAAAACCCATCATCAGACAGATTCCTAACATAATGTTCAAGAAATGCAGCAAAAGCTTCAACAGTGCTTCAGTGTCTGCAGAAATAAAATATCTGCAAGAATTAGCACTTCCCATCTTGCTGAGGCTTAGAAATATATTTTTTAAAAAATAACTTATTTTTAAACTGAAGAACATGATTGGAATGGAATAGCAGCACCAAGGAAACAAAACTAATAAAAGCTTTTTGAAAAAATACGTGATGATGGATGACATTTACCTCAGATGAATGAATTCGATAGCTGGCAGGAAACTTGGGATATCCACTTATCTCTTTGAGTACTTAGTAATATATAAGGTGAGGAACTAGTCAACCGTATCCTTTCTTGCTTTTATTCACATATCAGATTGTTTCTGGTAGTGCAAACACAGTTTTCTGATTTAAAGTAGCTGTAGATAAGAACTGTTAAGGCAAGATCATGTTTCCTTACAAATGTATAAGATAAAATGAAAGAAAGAGAGTTGGAATAGTTGAATCCAACTGTTGGATTTGAATTATTTGGACTGGTTTGGACTAGTTTGGATTAGTTGGATTGTCTCTAATTTAAAAGTGAAATATCTGTACTGCTTTTCTTCTCATACAGTACTTTGAGATCAAATAGTCATAGGAATTAGAAATGGGAGTAAGTTGGTAGTGTGTTTTACTTTGTCTTCACATTGTTGCTCACGAAGCACTTCCAAGGTAATCCATGTAAACCAGTATCTAAGGTCACCCTCATTTTGGCTCTGATTCTGTTTTTCAAATGGCATTTTGACAAATGTTCTTCATTGTATCTTTACAGCTGCAGTTTGTGATGGAAAATTTATGTTGACTGATTCCTCTGGGTTTTTTCACTCTATGAATTATCCAAAACCATACAATGCAAATATTGTTTGCCAATGGATTATATTGTAAGCCATTTTCCAATAATTTTCTACATAACATTTTTTTGATTATGCGGCAATATTGTTTCCTGCACATGAACCTTATGCCTTTTGTTTGTATTCCCAAATATCCCAGCATGGAAAATATGTAATAGTATTTTCTCTTTTGTATTTATGTAACTCTTCTTTAAAAACTTACATGCCTAAAACCCATAACTATGTCTGTAATTTTCCCACTTATAAAAATCCTTAGATATGATTTTGAGAAAACTTGTGTATTATATGCATGCACAGGAACATATTTGTAAGCTCGAAATAAATCACATAAAATAATTGCAAGATATTTGTTTCAAAGTATTACAATAAATACTAGTCTTTAGGTAATAGTTTTATATGCTATAATATGTAAAATAAGTTTGAAGATTGCAAGTTGGAAGCTCCTAAAAATCCCTACAATGACTGCCAATTCAGAAGTTACTGCTTTGAAAGGCAGTAATTTTTATCATGGTTTTGTAGTAATGCCCATTCTTTGATTCTGAGAAGTATTCATTTGGTAGAAGAGTTTCAAAGCAGATTAAGGAAATGGCTTTAAAATTGGGTAAGATTTGGACTTCGCACTCCCAAGGCTCCTTGGAGTGCTAGCCTTTGAGTTTGTTCAGGACTTTCGTCTTCACCTTGACACTTCAGGAAAAGTCATGGTTTTCCTTCTGTTTAGTACTTTTGTTCTTTCTCATCTTCAGCAATACTATTCACCAATAATTACTGGCTACACCTGGTTTTAAAATATAGGTGTGTCAAAGGAAAAGCGCAAGATTGTATTGTTCAGAATATAAGCCTGACTTGTTCCTCAGTTCAAGGTGTCACAGAATTTGAGCACGATAAAAAATCATGTCTCAAGTGTAATACTTCCTTCCAAGCTGTTAATTTTGCTTCAAACACTGCTATAGCTGCAAGAAGCATTGTATTAGGTAGATATCTATACCAGGTATGTAGCTAATAAAAGTTTAATTTTGGAAAGAATCATGAGTAATTGCAAATAATATAGTACAGGTGCTGCAGATCTATGTAATTACAGATTGATCAATGACAAAGACAACCATCTGGTTTTATTTTCCAGTTATCTGCTTTAAATAAATCTAGCAACACGGACAGTAAAGGCCTGAAAAATTCAATGTGGTACTCAAATTTTGTCTCCCTTTAGAACAAAATAGTTTCTATGAGGGAAAAATGCTGTCTCCCTTTAGAACAAAGTAGTTTCTATGAGGGAAGCTTTTGGGTTTTCCAGTAACCGATGAGAGATATTTTGTCCTATTATTTTTATTATCCCTCTAAAAGTGTGTTAAAAGTCACCCTATACTACATCCAAGCTTTGATTTCTCTTCTGCCTTTCTTTGTCTAGAAAGATTTCCCCATTACCTTTAGGAAAAGCTTTTACATTTTCATCCCATTTGACTCATCCCATTTGACTCCTCCCCACATGAAGATACCATTTCCTCTCCTTTTAAAAGTAAGAGCAGTATGCTCAAGATTTCCCTGAAAGATTAGCTTCCTGAAAGATTACCTTTCAACTATATGTTTTACTCTTTTAAAATCAAGGATATTTTTTCCTATGGAGAAATATATAACCAAAAAAAAAAAAAAGCAAATGTAAATATTCAAATATTTACTTCATGCTTCTCTACTAATCAGTACTGATAAGTATCAGCAGATTGCTGTTGAAAAGCTCTCTTCATTGGATCTCTCAATTCCAGAAAACAACAGATAGTGGTATAGGAAGATAAGCTGATTGTGATAGTAGAGTTTTACAATTTAGCCTATCATATATGCTTAGTGGAAAGGCAATGGGAGAACTACTTAAATACAGATTACTGAAAGAACAACTGCAGCAAAATAAAACCCAGCATTTTTTACACTTTCGTTAAAGTGACTTTTGTTAGTAATCTTACTGGGTGATGGTTAGATTTGATAACATGTTCCCGAACAGTGGGTTTGAGATACTCAAATCTTCATGCAAATTGTGTTTTTGTGATAAGAGACATTATTTTGGACTTTCAGGAGACAGATTTTGATACCTTGCTATTCTTATTGATACGATGATACCATTCCTCTGACTTCAGGAAGTCTACCTGAGCAGTGAGGTGTTTTCTATTAGTAACATGTATTAAAAAGTTATTATACATTAATGAGATGCAGAGAAAAAAAAAAAAACACAAAAACTGTTCAGCTGAATATCACATTCTAGAGTTCAGAAGATTCAATTCCTAAAATATACTTAACTCCAGTGAGTAAAGGAGTATTTGTACTGTTACAAAAGGTTTATGCCCTATTCCTTTGATAATTTTACAAACTAGAAGTTAGCCAAATAAGTCATTTCAATTAATAATCTTGATTAATGTAATTTCACATTGTTTCTGAACTTAACATCATTCAAGCATGCAATGAATTTACTACAGTCCAAAAAAGATTCCTAGAAGACGACTTTCAGTTTTGATGTTTATTTTTCTCTTGTTATCTTAGAGTGCCTCAAGGGTTATCCATTAAACTGAACTTCACTTCTTTTGATACACAACAATATACGGACATTTTAAATATTTTTGAAGGTATAGGACAAAACAAGATTTTAAGAGGTAAGGTTATTTTTCAGGTAATCTTATTTTTCTGTTAATAAAATCTAAGTGCTAAAATAAGCTTTTTGAAGTGAAAAAAATTGCATGCCTGTGTTTAAGTGGAAGAACGCATCTGTGTAAAGTTACCATGTTAGACAAATGATCTTGATATATATATATCTATTCTCATGTAGTGACCAGATAAATGCTTCTCTAATATATAAATAACCTCTACTTTTTTTTAAGATCTTATTTGACCAATCTTGATAAATTGACCAGAGCCATGGTCTTGTGGGGTCCATGTTTCATTGGAAATATATTGTCAGAAGATCCTGTATTACACACAGTAACATAAAATGAAAGCATCTAAACTGAAACTGCTGGGAGAAGTACTATGATACTCCCTGAAATTCATTACAAGCATGGCATTTCTTTCCTCATACCTTGAAATATTGATGATACCTTATCTCTGTTCCTATATTCTATTCTGGAAAACTGGGATTTTGCCCATTTTTCACAAAACTCAGTCTACCCAGCTGAATTCCATCAGAGGTGGAATACAGATACTTGAAGATAAATATATAGAGATGTCAGAAAAATATATTCTTATTTATCCTTATTTTTGGAAGCAGGGAGACAATGGCAATGAGAAATAGTAACATACTCATAAAATGTAGCATGGAGAAATTCTACCCTTCCAGTACTGCTTTGAATTTGACCCCCTTCAGAATTTCAATTTAGATGCGAGAGATTGCTTCAATAATATTCTCTGCAGCAACCATTAACTTGCATGGTTTTAAGGACTGCTGTGGGGATGACCAGTCATACCACAAACACAATGTTAAAGACTGTCCTTCAGTGGATTGCCTAAAACTTTGCAGTTTGAGGGATAGATTTCCAGGTATTACAAATACCAAATATGGAGGAAAGAAGGGCTACAAGACATTTCCAGATTAAGACTGTCCACTTAAGTAAGTAAAAGTACCTGAGAAGGAGGAAGGAAAATAATGCACATGTAATGAAAAGTGTGAAAGATTATGCCCATTGTCTTTCCTTAATAATTCGGCACCGTTTCAAATATATCGTATTACAAGTAGGGAAATAGCTCCTCCTCAGAAAAGCAAAGTCTCTCTAGCTGTGCAAAATCAGGCAAGGACTTCAAAAGAGAAAGAGTGGAGGCAAAAATGTTCACGGAACAGTGAGGAATTCAGGATTTTCTTTATCCTAAATACAGTTACTAGTCTAACTGTTGTTACCTGGCATCATATCAGCTTTAGATGGAGGAGCAACTATTTTACTATATGATGACTTGTATCCATCCTTTCATTTCACACGTATGGAAGTTAAATGAGTGAATTTAAATTAATTTAAAATTTAAAGTCAAAATTTAGATACGTTGTACTGTAGAATCATAGAACTGCCCAGGTTGGAACGGACCTTGAAAGATGCCCTGGCCCAACCTTTCATGGGAAAGGGAACCTAGGTGAGATTATCTAGCACCCTGTCCAGCTGCTTCTCAGAACATTGCAATTGCTCCTGTGCTATATGCCTTCATGCATGCATCACAAAAGGAAATTCCTATGTAATTTCACAGTTTACTTAATGTGCTAATTATTAAACTGTGACAATAAGTATATATAGCAAAAATAGGTAATCAGTACTGTGATTCTAGAGTTTCAGAGTGCATATCTGTAAATTTTGAGAACATTTGCAGCATAATAAGCATGGATATGAAGATTATAGTGTTGAATATGTGTACTATAAGAGACATTTCTCCACTAGCTGATATCCATATTGATGGATATGAGAGATGGGTTATGCAGAATACTTCTATGACAGCCAAACAGCTAAGTGCCTTCAGGGTTTTGAACCTATTGTAGGCAGGATCATAGTACAAGAGGAAAAGCATTCTTTAAGACTCAAAAAGCTAATGCACTGTATTTTTGTGACAGCACTGGGGATTTTAATGCATTTGGGATTGTTTTATCTCTGACTATATTATTCTTTATTTGTTCTCAGCTTCTCTGTCAGGGACTAATCCTGAGACAATTTACATTTTTTCTCATGAGGCTACAGCACAGTTTATATCGGATTATTCTGAAAATTACAATGGCTTTAATGCAACATACACTACATTTAATGCAAATGGACTAAGCAGTAAGTGTTCTGTGTGTGTGTGTGTTTCTTTGTTATCCCGAAAGTTTGGTGGACCTATATTTTCAGGTTGACAAAATGGAGATAAAAAGGGAAGCAGTATTTTCTAGCCTCAGTCCACTAACTAGATCCACTTTGAGAAATTTCATACGATTTTAAAGATCAAATCATTGATTTCAATAAGACTGTCCACAGGTTTACAGGCCTGTATCTAGCAGTAGGGTGATGCCTTACAAAGTTAATCTGTTTAAATAAGAGTAAAACTCCAGCCATATCTCCATCAGATTCCTCTCAGCCAGTTTGTTCACTAATGAACACCGTTGAATGACACTAATCATTATTCTGTGATCACCTGACAGCACCTGCTCTCCAGAGTTTCTGATGTCCTGACTCATTGCCACAATAATAGTCCCAAATGGCAAAACTAACATTCAGGAAAATACCTGCTTCAGTAAATTGGCATTGGAAAAAGTCCAGATGCAGTACATCTACAGTGACAACAAAATGCAGCAATATGATTCATGCATTGGTGTTCTTTAGTAGTCGGAAAAAATTTAGATGCAGATTGGACAAGTGGAGGCTTCTTCAGCTGCTAAATTTTGAGCAGGATGTGAATAAGGGATGTGGCTGGGAAGGGATATGCTGCAGGAAGCACCCAGAGTGCCAGCAAACTCTTGTCATGTGGAAGCCCTTGCTGGAGGCTGACCTGCACTTCAAGGCACCATGAAAAGACACTGAGCACAATATCATGGGAAGAAAAGTGATAAGGATGTTGCAGCAAATATAGGTGAGCAAAGAAGGAGCAAAGGAGAAGGACAAGGAAAGGGGCCTCCTTGGTGCATGGAGCACAGAACTTAGCTTCTGAGCATTCAGCTCCAGTGGTGAGCCCTTTCAGCTGGAGCAATCCAGGCCTTGGCAAAGAAAAGAGGAAAAGAGCAGGGACAGCCCTTGGTGTTAGCTATGCAAGGGGTCCTCTCTCATTACCCCACCACATTACTGGTAGAACAATCAAAAAAGAAGATTGATGAATGAGTGCAAGAGCATGTAGGGCCGTCTTAAGTGATAGTGTTTTGTTAACAAGTACAACTGACACATTTATTTGAATAATTATGTTGCATTGCATAGAAGAAGAAATTGAGTCACCATGGGCACCAGTTTTCAAACTTATTTAAAAATTTACATCGTTCGTCACTCATGTAATTATGAGAAAATACTTAACGTCTCTGTCATTTTTATTTACTAGAGGTTCTTATTCACAGATTATGAGAAAGTCAATTGCACTTTTGAAGACGGCTTTTGTTACTGGTTACAAGATTTAGATGATGATTCAGACTGGGAGAGAGTTCAGGGCCCTACCTTTCCCTTTATGACTGGTCCTGATTTTGATCATACATTTGGCAACATGTCAGGTAAGAGCAAACACAAGTTGCTTGCAGATTAAAGGAAAAGCTTGACTTAGCTTATGTGATATCACTGTACAACAGATTCTTCATAACGGTATTATTGGGATGTAATTTTACTCTGCCATAAAAATGAGTCAGGGCTACCAGACAAAATGTTTTATGCTACTGATTGTCATCTTGTGGAAATATACCAAAACTAAAAGAAGAAATAAAGGAATATATAAAGTGATTGAAGTGTGAGGTATTGAAAAGTTTCAATGCTATTGATATGCCAAAGTGCCTTATCCGAGAAAGGAATTTCTATTATGCAACAGTGTTATCGATCAACTAACTGCATGTTTACCTTAAGGAAAAAAAACAAGTATAGTTACATTTTAGGGAAATCACTTCTATTTCATCCCTGTCTACTGGTGACATCCTCATGGTTGTCACAGAATAATTTTGATTTAACATAAAGTTGACCTGCAGGGCATGTAGGGCACCTGTGTCCCCAGTTAGAATCGCACACCATATACATTAATTTTCAACACATGTGCAAAACACACAAACACTGCAGCAACTGCTATAGCAAAACAACTTAATTGGAAGAGTGATCATATCAAATGTGGGTTTTAATTAAAAAGACAATACTGATAGGAATCAGATTTTTTAATGTGTATCATGAATGCTTGTCCCAGAATTAGACTGCAAAAATTTTCTTCTGCTTCAACAGCAAAACCAAGCAATCTCTTTCTCAGCTGATTTGTCAGTCCAGCAAAAACCAGTTAACATAATTTGGATTTTGCAATGGTTATATATATTCTATGCAAGACTTATACAGAACTTATTCAGTGACAAATAACTGGGAAAATTGCAAATTTTCTGGAAGATGTTACTCCCAGGAAAAGAAAAATATTATTCAGCACGTTATTGGGTAGAAATTATTCACCTCTCCCTGAGTAAATGCACATTTTCTAAACAATCTTCAGAACACTGTTTTATCTTCCCACTTGACTCCTAAAATACAAATCAGATGAAAGAAAATAAAATGGGTTTAATAAAACATTTCACAATGATTCCCAGCTCTCTTGAAAATGCTAATTTATTTTAGGTGCTCTCTGTTTCACTGTGCTTGATCTAAGCTGATGTATGTAATGTTGCTATTATGTTGAATATTCAAATTTCTACAGCCTGTGTTTGAAGTAAAAATATAAGCTGCATCATTAATATCTAGCTATTATATACATTCAGTAAGAGAGTATATTTTTGGTTTGCTGCTCTTGAAAAACAAAGGATTTAATACATACTCCACAACTGATTCTGAATGCTCAGAGAATTGATGAAACGGAGAACTGTCACTTTGACTATATGAAGACCTTTTCTGAAAAAGAATGCTGTGCTCATTTTCTTAAAGCTAGACACCATGTATATTTCAATGCATGCTTTCTAAGTCAACACAGGAAATGAAAGGCCTGATTCAGATTTCAGACTAATTTCAGGTACTTCAACGTCCCACATGAAAAACCTAGGTAATCTAGAAGTGTAAATAACAGAATATAGTATATATCATTTAAATTATATATTTATATTTATTTGTAGATTCTATGAATATAATATTTGCATATAGATGTATTAGATAGATAGATAAATAGATAGATAGATAGATAGATAGATAGATAGATAGATAGATAGAAAGAATAAAATTGAAGATTACAGCCATGATTTCAATAAAGCAAGAATTTTATTTTAGGACTTTTAACTCTGCCTAATTTTGCTTTTCTTGTGACAAATCACAATGCTTCTGTAGCCTGGCCTCACATTATATTTCCATATGGCAGCAAGAAGTCCAAATTCCCAGCTGCAAGGAATTAACTCAGAAAAAGCTAAAAACCCAATTTCCCCAAATAATATATTTTTCTTGTTTATAATGCTTCACCTTGCTATAAAACATTCATGTAGTCATTCTCTCACCCCCCTCAACATGCAACCTATATTTCCCATTATTATGTGGATAAAAATTATAAAAATGTCAGGAAATTCTTCTGCAAAATCACAGGCAATGTCAAACAGGAAGACATTTTTATAAACTAAGCAGAAATGGCTCAGGTGAATCACTGCCTTCACTAAATAAAAGGCAGATCTCCACCTGACTTCAAAAGGACTAGTTTCCCATTTCATGTCTAGTTCTGAGGAGTGTCCGACAAGCTTAAAGCTCATTTTAGTGTGTTGTTGACTGATGAATATAAGTTGGGATAATCATTAATGTTTATTGTTTCAGGAATCTTCCAAGTCATTCAACGCTGTCTGTGCTTGATATTATTTATATTATTTTTAATGTAAAAACTCTCATTTAAAGAAAAAATCAGTAATTCTGTACTGACTAAAATGTGCCCATTATCTTGCAGGATTTTATATTTCAACACCCATAGGACCTGGATTTGGAGAAGAGAGAGTCCGGATTCTGAGTTTGCCTTTGGTCTCTTCGGATTCATCTTGTCTAAGCTTTTGGTATTCTTACATAATTCCTAAACATATACTTTGTTTAAGAATAAAACCAAATAGTTTTCTTTCATATATAACATTAATCCAAGTCAGTGTGCCAGCAATACAAGCCTGCTTCTGTTTGGATTTCCATGATCAGTCTCAACTCCAGGCCTGAAACTTTGACTCCTTTATAGGCTTGATTTTTGCAGTTAGCTTTATGTATTTTCTTTTTCACTCTGCATCCAATATTCATTTATATACAGAAATTACATTAAAAATCCCTGAAATATTTTTTGTCATGTCACTAGGTCTCTGCAGAAAATATAGCAGTGCCAAGTAAAACTTCTATGTGTAATCTAAACATATGATTAATTTTATTTTCAAGTTCACTGCAGATTAGTCCTAATTCCATAAAACCATTTATAACATAAAAAGCTTGATATTTTTTAATTAAATTTAACTTTGTTCTAATAATGCCAAAATTGCTCTTCCCCCTCTAGGTATTTCATGTACGGTACTAATGTTTACCGTTTAAGAGTTAGCATAAGTAATGAGCATGGTTTGGAAAAGATCATTTTCCAGAAAGAAGGAAACTATGGGAACAACTGGAATTACGGACAAGTAACTTTAAATGAAACGTCTGATTTTAAGGTTTGTTAAACTGCTAGTTCTTTTAAAATTTATTTTAGCTAAACTGATATCAGAGTTTTCTGTGAAATTAACCCAATGATCCGCAGCTCCAAAGAGAATATCTAGTGCTATTTACTAATGCATGCCATTAAATAAATGTTAAATTGCTGGACTGGAGTCCCCATTTGAACTGTAACCCCCCCGCCCACCCTTTCCCTATTCTGGAATTTAAAGTATTATTATTGTAGAAAACAGACAACCTTAACGTTGTTGTGGGACAGTCAATGTTATCATGAAAGAGAGCTTTCCAGAAAACAAAGATGTTCAAAGCCTATCAAAATCTGATGTGGAGTGTAAAATCTGAACAGTGAGAGTGATATGAAGCACCTAGCCATGACAATATTTAAATTAAGTAACTTCAGATTCTGAAGCAGTATTTTCACTAATCAATTACAAAATAATTCACTGAAAGTGTGTTCCAGACAGAAATGTATTTGGTGACTCATGGTTAACAGCTGACCTGTAAACAAAAGGAGGACACTTATGCTAGATAATTCCTTCAGCAACCCTCTACTGAAAACAGTTTCTTTTGTAGGTATTTGGGATGGCTTGTCCTGCTATAGTAATTTTGATTGATGCAAAAGCACTGCCAGAAAGATGCATTTACCATCTGAGGAAGTAAATGCATCTGTGACCTGGCTGCATCACATTTCCAGCAAATGTGTGTTTTATGATCTCTGGAAGAGTGCTATACCTAGCTGTATTTCACCAGAGTGAATTCCTTGGTAGCAGGATTACTTTAAATATGTGGATATTAAAGCAATAACAAACAAATGAGATTAATTTCCATTTTCCATGGAGATACGCCATTAGATCAGGAGAATTTTGAACTGATGAGTGATACAGAATTTGTGTTTCAAAAATTACGTGTATTTATATATGAAAAGTAAAGTTATTGAATAGTTTTAAATCACGTTCACCGTTTATACAAAGAAGTTCCTGCACTCTTTAGAATGATCCACTTGGTTTCAATAGTGCTGTTTTGTTTTGTGAGGAGTCCTGCCTCATTCCTGATGCCCTCCCAGTGTAGAATACAGTAGAAATAAGAGCATTCAAGAAAGAAGACAGAATCATTTGTCATAGGACGCTGAAAAGTTTTTCATTAAATTATAAAACTAATTCTTTTGCATGAACTTCAGGTTATTTTTGATGCCTTTAAAAAGCGTGGTCCCAGTGATATTGCCTTGGATGACATTGGTTTGACAAAGGGAAAGTGTAATCAAAGTATTTATGTAGACCCAACTGTGATTCCAGCTGTTACTACTGTCCCTTCAGTTCCTAGTAAGTAAACACTAAATTACAGCTGATTGCAATTTCCTATTACTGTATTTGTGTATGAGTGATTCAGAATTTTCAGCCTTCAGTTTTATAAAAATCTCTCTTCAGCCTTATAAAATTGTCTTTGGGATAACATACTAGGGATCAGGTTCCCTGCCCATGACTCCATTGATAGCAACAGAACTGGTAGATATACAGCTTAAGCTATCAGTACAGTATCTTCCAAAACTGGAAGGGTGGAGGATAATTGAAGAATTCAGAATTTGTCTCTAAAAGGTTTAATTAGTAAAGCTTCCAGGAAGCCACTGAAGGGGAAGGAAGAAGGAAGAGAAGGAAGATTATAACCTCTATATTTGAAACTATAAGTAATGTAGCAGGGGAATAAGAGAATGAGCAGTGTCACATAATACTACCACTAGAGGTCTCAATGGTAAAAATTCACCAAGCTCTGAGAACACATGCACACTGAAAACTCCCATATTTAGGAGAATGAATCTATAATAGGGCCAGAATGGCTTAAGAGTGGAGCAAGGTGTATGTGAGTGTCTAATACCCAAAATGGAGGTATTACCTGGAACAAGGCTTGCAGGGAATGACTTCTTTCCAATATGCATTTGGCCATATTGTTATTCCTGCTATATCTGATTACATTAAAAAGGAAAAAGAAGACAATACTTGCTTTGAAAAAAATTTAAATAGGGAAACACAAAAGACAGGACATTTAGCAGTCCTTCTGGTTTCAGAAGAAATGAGTGGACAAAAAAGCCCCAATCTTCCCACTCCCTGATCTAATGAGAGGGTTCAGTATTTGCATAAATTATGGAATGTGTCAAAATCTAAGCCTGATTTCTTCAACTTTGCCTTTGCTAATTCTACTCTTCATGGTAAGGCAGGAGTGATGAATAGGTGCTTGCTCTAGTAATAACGGACAGGGCTTTTTTCCTGCTTGATGGGTCTCATCTCATTTCATCTCACTATCTTCTTGGCACCTTTTCTGAATCCCAGGTTCAGTGGGGAACTGGAGGAGGGTTGGTTTTGTTTGCACATTTTTGCCATCTTCTCCAAGTCAAGTAGTAAGTTAATGAAACATGAAACCTATAGCACATATGCACTTCTCCAGACAGGTTGTCCAGCTTGATCCAGACCCATCATATTGCTGAGTCTTTTAAAGAAAAGCACAGAGATTTAAGCTTCCTCAAAACATACGAGTTTCACAGAGCTAGTTAGAAGAACCTTACTGAGAGAAAAATGAAAAAATACCTGTAGACATCATTGTAAATCTGGAAAATGTATGTAAAACAAAGAAGAAATATTGCATATGATGTTAACCAGGTCCATGCACATTCAAAGCAAAAACTGGTACACATATGAATAGAGACTTTGGGAAAAAATCATTAAAATACCTGATAGGGCTTTGTAATTTATTCTGAAAGAGGCACGAACATTTTGGCAAAAAAGAGATTTCTACAAAAGACCTATTCACAGATGGCTTAATATCATTAAAACAAACAGTAAGTATGTTCCAGGACTGCCTCCTATTAGATTTACTGTCACTTAAAAAGCACAGCTATTTGCTCTCTTGACAGCATATAATAAATAAAAAATGGTCTAAAATTAAAATAATAGAAAAAGACTGTTTGCATTGTATTCATGTTGAAGTGCTGTGTACTAATATTGTCATTCTATCAAATCTACCACTGCTAAATCTACTGCATCAGGACAGGTAAGAAAACAAAACCTTCTAAATGTAAGAGCAAAATTCAGTTTTAGAGCTCCATCGTGAGACACTGGGAGGTACAGTTCAACAAGATGTCTCTGTCAGCAGAATTAAATTTTAATAAAACTAGTAATTTCAGTCATAATGTACCAAAGTGAGTTTTGGAATTTGATTGCAGTTTTCATTAAAGCAATATTGTGAAGAGGTGCTGATGTCTGCCACCTCCAGCCATCTTTCAGGTACTGTGGGTAAACATACCTCACAAGCTAGCATCAGTCTAATGATTAGTGGTAGAATGACCCTGTGGTAAATAGCAGCTGAGTGCTGCTGTCAAAACACCAAAGAAATGTCATTCAAACTATAGATCTCTACCCAAAATACAGTGATAAAGTTTTAATAGTCAAAAAAAAGGAAGTGGTCATGTGGCATATTACTTCTTATGAAACAGATTAGAGAGGATCCATACTGTCCTTCAATATGATACAAAAGCACAGTCTAAGCTGTCACTGGGGAAAAACTAACATGTTTGCATAACTTTGTTGAGGCGTGCTATGTACATGATATCTGTAACCTGCTGAAAAAAAGTGAATGTTATCAATCATCTTCAAAGAAGTATGAAATTGCTTTGATGGATGTGGTGCAAGCTTACTAACACTAATGGTTTCACTACAAATGTCATGTCTATAAACAAGAGATGAAAGAAGTTGAGCTGAGCCAATTTCTTTTGCTAGACTTAGAGCTTCAGTAAGAGGCACTGGCATCATTCACAGTGACACAAAAGCTCATTGAAAAGTCACAAAATTTTGGTGGTGGGATAGGGAAGCTAGATTTGTTTTTGTCTTTTGCAAAGACTGTCAGCTTACACTTTCATCTAAAACAAAGATTTCTTTCATCTTCATTTATAACCTGTCTTTTAACACAAACAACAGTGTGGAAATTATAGTGTATGTCAATATAATATGTGTATGTCAATATAAATTAAAGTTTTGGCCAAAGCACAGAGGAATTATTTTATGAATATGTCATATAATTTTCTACAATGTTGAGAAAATCGTCTATTATGCTCAATGAAAGGACCAAGATTATTGGTGCTGATTGCTATTTGGTTCTCTAATGAGTGACAGCTATATGAATAACTCCATATAAATTTGTGTTTAAAGATCACTGGAAATTTTTAAAGCATTTTTTCCAGACATGAGTAAAATCAATTATTTCTATTGTTTTTCCACGCAAGAGAAAGAAGATCATTACTAATGTGCTTTACATGTAGTCAACACCAGGTCAGATTTCCTAAGTTGACCCTCTTCTGCTATTAAGAAAGTTGGTTTTGCTCTGCTCATATCACCAGAAGGTACTGGTTAAGAATCATACATTCTTCATGCAGCTTTACAACACCTGTTTGTAGGTGCAGTAATGTTCCATAAAAAAAGCCAATGTAATCTTTGTTGTTAATGGTGGTTACAGAAAGTAGTTCTCATTGTGAGCCATACAGCTGAAACATAATGTACTTGTTAGTCAGTGTGTGATTGTTAACAGTTCCTTTTCCTTTCAGAGAGTTCGGCTTTTTTTGCAGGAGTGATTTGGTGAAATAGTTCTGTAAGATCGCTGTCATAAGAAAGTTCAAATCTTTCTTGTATTTAGTGGAGCTTCCTCCCAGTAGGATTCAATGGGCAAACTCAGTAGGACTTGTAGATTATGCAGTCCCCAACCAAGTGGCTCAGAGTATGCAATACTGACAGACATAATGAAACGCAGAATTTGAGCTATTGGGCGGTGGAGGGGGGAGCAGGAGCGGGGAGTGTTAAAGTTTAGCCAAAGTCTGAAAGTTAAAAAAATCAATTGTAATTCAAAGAATAAACCAACAACAAAACAAAATAAAAAAGGTAGATTTCTTCTGCCTTAATTTCTATTTCCTGAAGCAGGTGGAGGAGCACTGTTTATTTTTGACTAAAGTAATTGTGAACAACAGAAGTGGGAAAACATCGAAGTTCATTCTGATGGTACAGCTGAAGTGAAAATAAATAATATTTCTCAATATGAAGTAAAGTTTTGGAATATGAAGCTGACATATTTCAGATGTAAACCACCATCTAAACTATATATTGAAAGAGAATATTGTATATATAAAGTGCAGTTAGCTATGTCTATGTGTATGAGTGAGTGTATGTGTGCACATACATACGTATCTATGATTTTTTCTTTTAAATAAATTTTATTCATTTTCATATATAAATGCATATACATGTTTATGATAAAGACCTTTCTTATTGGAGCAGTTCTTTCAAGGAAAAAGCAAATGGCTACTTTTACCGTTTACAAGGTTTAACTGTAAAAGTTTTTAGGGTCCTGATGAAATCAAAGTAACAATATAAGGGGTTTTTTGCTATAAGTTTATTTGCTAGGTGACCAAATGGGCTTTATACTTGACTATCTCTGCTAATGCTGCAAGATCAGTCAGATAATAAGCAAGGCGTATACAAGCTAAGTGCATAAATAGGTTATATTGGGGGGGGGGCGGCTTTGGTGTCTGTCTTTGACATTTTCTAGCTTTTACATTAATGTACTAGTAAATTATACAGTTGACTGTATTACATTCTTTTCTTCATATTCTCTGTCATGTGCACAGCTTGCAGACCAATAATCACCAAATGAAAAACAGTCTGTGTCCTTCCCCTAACTATCTGGGGAAGACTTCTCATAGCACCATCATGAATACAGTTGTGCACCTGAGCACTAGCACTTCACAAACAGCAATATATGAACAACAGCTGTAGATAACACTATGGTATCAATTTTATGTGTCAGCAGGTCTGACTTAGACACTGTAACTAATCAGGACAGTGAATTTCTTACACACCTTGTTTCCTCAATGCTCTGTGCCCTTACTCTGTGCTGGCTTCTTACAACTCATTGTTCAAACTTTATACCAATGGCACCGTAACAGAACCTTTCCAGTAATGAATTTAACTTGAATATCCTCTTCATAAAATTACTTTTTCCAAATTAGCCTTGTTACAATGGCTTGCAAAAGTAAGATAATAGGTTAATTATGGTTTTGAAATGTTTTCTTTTTCAGCTGACTGTGGAGGACCAGTTGAACTCTGGGAGCCAAACAGTACATTCAGCTCTGAAAACTTTCCAAACAATTACCCTAATCAAGCTTTTTGTAAGTCATTCTTGTCCAAGTCTTCAGGAAAAGCTTAGCCATATAAAAGTAGAGATATTAAATCTGCTTTCCCAAGTCAGATGCTGTCAAGCAAAAAAGATCTAAGCTATGTACAGTGGGATCTTTTAACTAAAGTCTATATGGCACTTAGCAGAAGCTAAGGAATTGTGTGCCAATTGATTAAAAAGTGATGAAGACAAGCATAATCCCTTGGAATGGGTTGAGACAGGCCAATTCCATCATGTCTATTATGTCAAATATCTTTAGGTCAAGGCAACAACAGACAAGGTGCTGAAAAGTCCCCATTTTACCATTACACCTGAATGTATTTGCCAGGTTAATATCATCATCTCTTCTGTTAAATAGTTAACCTTTCCTATGGGCAAAGAAAGTGTGCATGCATTTTGCAAGGGATGCTCTCTTTATTGAATGTTTCTTAACATACTAGTGAAAATACATCATTATTCTACTGGTGTTACTTGATTTAGATTAAGCTACAGCTGGCAAAAGTGAAAATGTTTCAAAGTGGTCCACTAAGTGCTGTTGATGGATGAAGCAAGGAAGACAACTTTGCTTCTTAATGAAATTTTAATTATTTATTACTTCACTTTTAATTGGAGAATTGTGTTGCCATGCTAATCACAGGAGTTGTAATTTTGTGTTTCTGTCCCACCTGAGATATGGCTCTCATTTCCGGGTATTAATTTCACAAGATCCCAAATGTGATTCCTACTAGTGAGAAAATGCTTTTCATTCTATGAACAGATAAAAAACAGTTGCTTGTTGGTTTTTTTTTTTTATTTTCTTTACAAGATATCCATAGTATCCACACTTACATAGATCAAATATGATAAAGCATAGGCTAAACAGAAGCAAATACTTCTTCTCTAAAAAGACATCTAACCTGAAAGACAGGCTTCTGTGACTGATTATAGAAATTATCCTACCATCAGATAAGACTTAAGTGACAAGACTATTTGCCACATTCTCAGTTACAAAAGAATTAGCTTTGCTACTTTAGGGAAACTCACAGCTGTCATGAATGATAAAAAATGCATGTGTGTATGTCTTAGGAGCCTAAATCCCATTTTCAAAAGTGTTTTAGAGAATGAGAGTCAATTGAATTTTGGATACTGACAGCATAAGTTGCTTTTAAAGATAAGATTTAGACTTCTAAGTCTCTTGGGTGATTCTTAATAGTTTACCAGAGATATTTTTTCCCCAAAATCCTTCAACATGAAAATGACACAGTGAATGTAACAACCAAAAAGGTGATTTTTGTGTGTATGTTATTACTTTCTAGGTGTGTGGCACTTAAATGCTGAAAAGGGAAAAAACATTCAACTTCATTTTCAGGTTTTTGATCTGGAAAATATTCATGATGTAGTTGAAGTCAGAGATGGCAGAGGACCAAATTCCTTACTTTTGGGTAAGTAACAGCATTGAGTACTGAAGTGAATGTAGTCAGACAGCTGGAGCAAACTGATGGATATAATATAAAGGAAATTATTTCTCTCTAATTTCATTCTACACTTCTTCACATTTTTGGGTCTCAGAAATTAGGAGGAAAACTTGAGAAAGCATGCTGTGTGTGTGACGTTGCATTTCCCAAATGTTTGCACAGACTCAGCTTTCTATGCAATCCAAATGAAATTAACTTCTCAATAAATAAGACTGCTCATGTATGTGGACAAACAGAAGCACAGTCTCTTAATCGAACCTTATTTTTCTATACTGATGTGTCAAATTTGGGGTTAGGCGTTGATCATTGCAGTATGATAGCAGTTAGGTTTGGGGGAATAACTGTATTCATGTGGTAGCAGTATTTGCTTTTGAACCCAAAACATTTTGAAATACATAAGAACAAAATAGCTTAAGTATATTCATGTTCTCCTGGAGAACAGCTGTCTATACAGGACAAGACCTACTGCCAGATGTCTTCTCTACAACAAACCAGATGACAGTAATCCTCCTTACGGACAAGTCTGCAACAAAGAAGGGATTTCTTGCAAACTTCACTACTGGCTACCATCTAGGTAAGCATATGAACCCTTATATTTAAGAGGTTATAACAGTGGTCAAATACATTTGAGAAAAAGCGGAGAGTGGAAGGTGACTCTCAGCCCTTGATCAACAGAAATATGAAAAAGTTAAAGAGAAAAAGCCCAGCAGTTACCCATCTGTACTTTATGTTTTCTAGCATGAAAAGTGATGTTTTTGTTGCTTTAGTGTAACTGGACCAATGTCGGTATCATCAGCAGCTCTGTGTGATATGTGAAAACCGACTCAGTATTTTGACCAAAAACTGTTCAAATGTTAAGAGTGCAAATACACACTATTTCCTGCACAAGGCCCAGAAAAGAACACCACTTTGTGACTCATTTGAGGGTGTCATTAATATTTAAATGCATTTGTAAAATATTTATTACCGACCACATCCACTAGAAGAGAAAACTATATGGTAACTCTGATTAATGTTTGCAATATGGTCCTTCTTGCATCTTTAAAAATTTGGTCCTTAGCATGTGAAGGACCTGGGAAGAGTTAGTCTTTTAAACATTTGGACAGCAGTGTTTCTGGTCCCAGCTCGTCCCCTTCTGAAAGACTCCTGGCTTTGTTGGGGACTGCAATTAGGTTTGTCACTCATATAAGTAATTCAGCAATCAGCTCTCCAAAAACATGCAAAATGGAGCCAAATGCTAAACTGCATGGAACAGCAATATGCTTACCAGGACAAATACTTACACTAACTCTAGGCCAAATCTTGACGGAATTAATTTGAGGCTTTGTATTACTTCTGTGGAATTCTGACAGCAGAAAAAAGAGAAAGAAAAAGCAGTATGTATTCAGAGATGTGTGAAGTACCATTCATTTGCATGGACAGAAAGTCAACATGAATCTATGCTCTTTTTCTTATTTTAAATATCATAAAAGGCAAGTGTCTCCCAGCACGTTGAGCTAGCTGCAGCTTTTTATACATTAACAGTAATAATAATATTAATCTTCTTAATCTTTAAAAAAAATCTTAACCATTGATTTACCTTTGTAAAATCAATTCCATTTAGTCCTGTTGTGCAAGACTGAGAGGTAGGCTTACATGGACATACGACAACTTTGCTGCTTCTTGTTCTGCGTCCTCTATCACATTTGTTCAGTCTGACAACACTATGCCTTTTTTCTAGCAGGTTCAGCATCTTTGCTCAGCTTTGCCCATATTCTGTTGTAAAATAAAAATAAAGCTTAGCAAGGCAGAGTGCTCAAAATGACCATTGCCAGTTCTGGTTAAATATATTAAAAAGGTTCCATTTGCAAAAGAATTATGCTTATATGATCTTTGCAGCCAAGGGACAAAGACTAATATCATTAGCATGCAGGCCAAAGGATAAAAGGTTTGTCAGTCAATAAATTAATTTTACAAGAAAAGCAGATTTTTCTTTGTATTTTATTTTTCCATGAAGTATTGAGTTTTTGAAAAGGAAGCATAATTGAAAAAAAAAAACCTTTTTGGCAATACAGAATATAATAAAAAACCTGTTTAAGTGATAACTAAGTTCTGTGGAAAGTATGGCACCAGTTATGGCCACTGAATGTGTTAAAATCTGGCTCAGGCCTTTTATAAACGAGTATTTTTTGCTTACATATTGTACAACAGGTCATACTGACTGATGAATGAGTCATTTTATAAGAATATTAAAAATTCAGAAGCAAAGCAAATATCTTGCCTTAAATAAGACTTCTAGATAATTAAGTGTTTAAAGTCAGTAAGTCCAGGAAGGTAAAATAGAGAAAATAAACATTTTTTCAATAGAATTTAAGTTTATTACTGTATTAGTGCTTATTTCCTGTAAATACCTAGAATGGTACTATTAAAAATACTCCTTGTCAATAGAAAGAATTATAACTTTATATTTACTCTCTACCTGATCTGCTTTTGTTACATAACTGATACTGAAGTAGCTTAATCCTACATTTGTGAATGCTTTCTTCATTCATTTCTGTTGCTTTTGTCTCTTCCGTCTTTACTACCAGATATGTTTCAAAAGGAGACTCTTGGCTTTCAATGTCTCTTCACTTGTATGTTTGACTTGACATACTTTAAGGTCTCTAAAGTTTTGTGAAAGCGCTGAACAACTGGAACTTGAAATCGTTAGTCACTTTTGACAGTATTTGATCAGGATTTGACTTTTCTCATCCCTCCAAAGTTTATTACATGTAACAGAAGAACACTAGTAACTGAGCAATGCTAACTATAGCAGAAACTAAAAGACGTAATACCATAGATTTTATTCTTAATTAGCTCCTATTTATCTGAAAATAATCGTTATTTTGAAGAAGAGTTAGATAGGAAAGGAAAGAAAAAGAAATCAAAGGTTCTGCATACTATCCACTCAATTTTTTTTCGGGTGAACTGTATGATCTCCAGTGAACATTAACCTTCCTCATAATTATGGATTAATTTTCCTTTCGTGTTTTCCTTCAGGACCTTGTGCGATTGACGAGCATCAGTGTGGTAGCGGGGATTGTATACCATTGCATAACCTTTGTGACAACCTACCTCAGTGTGAAGATGGCTCTGATGAAGCAAAGTGCGGTAAGGTTTCCTTCAAACAAAGAGAAGGAATGCATGCATGTTTGGTAGGAATTACCTAGGAAAACAGCCACAAAACCTCAGCTAGCATAAACCACTGCAGCTGCATGCAGGCCATGACAATTTACACAGCAGTATCTCATTGAGTTTGTCAGGGCCAAAAAAAACAAAGTCTCTTTTCTGAGATAGTGTATGTAAGCTGGTGAAGATCTCTGGAAAAGGTAGGAAGTTCCTTGATGCTTAAAACTGTGGCTGCTTATAATGGTCTCAGAATTAAATCAAAATGCATTACATGCTTTCCTTCTGTATCCATTTTGTGTTCCCAAATTCTATCTCTTTTTGTTACAATTAATTGAGTTTCACAGCAGTATAAATTGTGCAGGCTAGAGAATAAGAGTCTTCTTGATGGAAATTCCTAGGTAGTTTTGTGGGTGTGAAGCCAAACTGCAGCACATGGCACCCTCCAGCCTGCCTGGACTCCATCTTGTGGAGGCACTGCCATAGGGTGAAGGGATGGCACAGCTGCAAAAGCAGCATCCTTTGCTTGTAGCAAATGTTCATGTTCCTACAACAAGGAGACCAACAGCTGCTATTGCTTAGTCTTCTGGTAAAATGGTTCTTTCCAAAATGTAGGAGCACAGTATATAGCTTCATTTCACATAACATGGAAATAGCATTCTCTAAACAATAATTTAAATGTAAACCTGATGTTAAAATCATATTGGGCCTAGCACAGAAATTAAATTGCTGTTTCTGACAAAGTGCTGTTCTGACAATCTGGAGCACTTAATGGAAGAGTTAAAAGTGGGCTTTTAAGCTCAGTACAATATCATCTTTGTTTTAAAGAGGACTGCTAGGGATCAGATAGGTCCTTGGATGTGTGCTGACAGTTCTCATTGGTTTCAGCGTCTTTTACATGTATATGTATATATGGCATATATAAATATATGTATACATTATATATGTCCGAAGGCACAGATTCACTCTTCACATTAGTGTAATTAGCTATTTTGTTGCAAACATATGCTTCTTTTAAAATGCATAGAATAAAATTCACTTCAGCTTCTTCTTAAGCAAAGATGACTTGAATGGGTTTTTCCAGCCATTGCTAAAGAAGATCAGAACAAGGTAACTATCACCTACATTAACATTATGTACATTTTCCCAAAGATTTATTTTGCAGTAGATTGTCTATTAGTTCATAAAAAATTGCCTCACATTAAAGGGCTGGGAGAATTGTTTCCAAAAACCCTTTTAATCCAAACATTGGCTGTATCAATCTAAGCCTTAAAATAAAATGAAAACTCAATTAGACATCCTCACATTGAGTCTTTTCAGTGTCCAAAAGTCTTGCTTATTTTCCTGAAACTAATTTCAGTTTTTTATCAGAAGTGGCAATTTGAACTAGACAAACTGTCATTTTTAAATACTCCAACTTCTGAAACTTCCCACAGACTGCAAAGAAAAGGCATAGGATCCCTCTTCCTTTGCAGAAGTCTAAAATATATGACATTTGAATTAAGCAGTTGTTGAGTGCTCAACGACTCTCTTATTCCTTACCAACAACATATTTGGAGAAGAACATGGATCTGATGAGAAAGGAAAAGGAATTATAGTTCAAGTAGAAGAGTAATTTGGAGAAGTCTCGCAGTGCAAACTATTCTGAGATTTTTCAAGACTGCTCGAAAATTTCTCATGACTGAGGATTACCATTAATTAATCACCGCATATCATTTCTTTCATTTATGCACTCTGGGTATCGGAAGAAGCATTCTTAAAAATCTAATACTTTTTTTTTTTTTTTTTTTCTATAATGGGTACCCTTTTTGTTCTGAATATTTTGTTCTGGCAAAAATTTTGATAGAAAGATTGGTTTTCAGTGAAAATTCTCATAACAATTGGAACTGGAAATTCCAATTTTTCTGTCAGCTCTGATTTAAACCTTATTTCCAATCAGTGTTACTGGGCATCATGTAGCTAAAGCTTCACACAGTATCTGGAAATTACATAATGCTGGCTAAGAAAAAACGTTGGTTAGAGTTGACGGAAAATGTACTGTTTATTGTCTATTCATGAGGCATTTACAAAACACAGTGTATGAAACTCTCCTGTGGCAGAAATATAGAAGGAGACAGCAATAATATTTCCTTCCTGTGGGAACACAACATCCTGGAGATGCTGGGTTTATTACTGCTGTAACATTTTGACTTTTATTTGTTCTTTGCTGGCAACAATAAATCTGTTTATATTACATTTCTGTTTGTTTTGCGGTGAGGGGAAAGGTAGTTTACCACCTATCTAAAATGCTTCTGTCTGGTCTACAGTGAGATTGCTTAATGGTTCTCTAAGCACTGAAGGGCTGGTGCAGGCCAGGATTGGGCAGATGTGGCACCCGGCATGTGCAGATGATTGGAATGAACAGATTTCAGACAGTGTTTGCCAGCTGCTGGGGTTAGGGTGAGTGAAAAATATTAATTTGTCCTTGTAACTTGTTTGCAGGTTTGTTGAGTCTATATATTGGTACTTTCCTCATCATTTTACTGGTGTCTTTACCATCCAAAAAAGGGGCAAATGTATTTTTCTGTGGCAAGTGAAGTGCTTGGTGTGCCAACAAATTTGTAAGTGTTGCAAACCCTGTTTTGATGGCATTCATTACAGGATAGGTGACTCTGAATACGGCAGATTAGGCATGAGGATGCATATTGGAGAACATTGGGAGACTGATGTGGAGGTATTAGTCTTTTATCACTTTGTCATCGTTTATGTCTTTACTTCTATGAGGATGGCTCAAGAGCAAAGCTGGAGCAAACAGCAGCCTTGGCTGCTCTGCTATTGTACTAATGTTCGTTTCAAGTAAATTCAAGATAATCACTTGGGTATTCTGCTACTGGGCTCCCAATATATTTCACACCTATCATTAGACCTGAGCTGTTGGGAGAGGAAACTGTATTTCTCTTGAAGTATACTTAGAGGGGGGAGGCAAAAAGGAAGTATATGACTGAAAAAATAGATTTGGCTTCAGTCTCTGTTCAGCAGAATTTCCAGGGAAAAGGTGGGGAGGGTTGGGTGCAGAAGTGTTGTCTTTTTCCATCTATGGTAAAATTTGTGGCCTAAATACTGGCCTGACACTGTATGCAACTTCACTGCCATCCACTGAATAATAAATAGCTTTTCTACAGTGCTGAGGTTTTAGGGGAATGTCACTCATCCAAGTAATAATCAAATTAAATTCTAAGCTTGCAATTCATTATGTTGGTCTCTGGCCAAAGTAGGATGCCTGCAAATGCCCTTCTGATAAATTAATTGTAGAAATCACAGCGTTAGGAAGACTTAGTAAAATATCCAAGTGTTATTTGAAAATACTTTTAATCATTGGATGAATGTTGGTTTTTTACTTTTTTCCCTTCAGGTAGGTACTGCATTTATGTAAATATCAGATACCCGCAAGCACAAATCCTGGCTGTAATTTATGTATGTAGTTATCTCATTTACGCATGCATATAAGAACATATAAACTATGACTAAATGTTCTTCTAGTCAAATACCTTGTCCTTTACAGGGGCCAGTAGCCTTCTTCCTCTGATTCTTTCTCCCCCTCCTTCTTTCCCTCTGTAACTTCTGGACACTAGTCATTTTGTGGTCTATTGGTTTAATTTACATTTATATTTGATAGGCTTCATGAACTTTCTCTTCCATGGTACATTCTACTATCTTTTAAAAATTATTTATGCTTTTGTCTCCATAACATTCTGTGGCAATATGTTTCAGTTTCTCATAGATATACATATGTATAACTTCTGTAAGCATCATGCTATTTCTGCCTTCCACGAATCCCCCTGTAGCAACATACTGTTAATAAGTGGCACCATATTTTTTATTAAATGGATGTTTGTAATAACAGGTCCTGAGTAGGCTATAGCTCATGCTCCTATACTGAATAATTACCTAGCATCATGCTTTATTAGAGAAAGAGGCTAAGATTCATCTAGGACAATTTAGTTTTGCTGTTAATTGCTTATACATTTGCTAGTCTCATTTACTGTTTAATTTATGAAAAGGACTGAAATGATAGGAGTCCTGTAGCATATCCTGATTATTCATGTAGCTGAGCTAGAAGGTGCAGTGTTCCACACAGATTCTAATAAATCACACATGTGAATCCTTTTGCCTCCATTTTTCAAATATGTGACTGTTGCATCTGTGATTATGTGCCAAACATTTGCCAGGAAGCAAATCTGAAGGCATGCCTATGTGTTCATCTACAAAATATACGTTAGGCAAATAAGTTAAAAATATTCTTAATGAGTCTAGAGTGCAAAGTGTACAAGTTGGTGCTCTTGAGAAACCTGAACAAGATCCTTTGCTCAGCTTGCACTTGTAACTGTGTGCATCTGACAACACTGTTAAAATCTGAGTATTGTTTGCATCACTTCCTTGAACCAACAAAATCATGCATTGAGCTTTTCACCATTCTACTGGTCCAGTGTGAAACACGCTTGTTTCTCTGGGACCAGAGCCAGCTGGGTCTTTACTCAATTGTACCCGGGAATGGGGGTAGACCTTGCGATTTTGCCATACCCAAAAGTCCAACAAGTACTGAGAGTTTAGGACTTGCTCTCAATCCTGCAGTCTGTTTTCTTCATGAACTTGCAAAATTCTTGAGAAGGAAATTAATTCATTGGAATACAATGTCTTGTTTGAGATTTCCAGGTCAATTCGGTTTTCATCTTCCCCACTTATGAATGGTCAGTAGTAGCTACATGCCTAGTTCCTTGAGACACCTCAGAAAACCCTGTCTTTGACTGTCAGACCCAGGTTCGTCAGTGTGCTGAGAATATAACATATGGCATGAAAGGGGTGGAAATGATCCCCCAAAATTTGTGTGCAAAAAAAATTTTATTCTGATGGAGAAATTAGGATAATAAACAGCATGATCTTACTCTGCTGTAGAGCCAATGAGACTCATGTGCTGAATGTAAGAAAGAATCTGGTTCTCAGTGTGTTCAGGCTGTGTTTGCAGCATTGAGGACCAGAATTAGGACAGTCCTAATAATTTCACAATAGACTTAGTTTCATGTCAGTTGCCACCAATTAATAATGTGCACTTTGACCTGAAAACCACAGGAGGAGTCACAATGATTTTTTTTGGATTTGTCAGTCCACAGCTTCACTTAGGATCAGACACTGCTAGTAAGCTTGGCTTAAACCCATTGCTTAAGAAGCTTCATTTCAAATCCAGAAAGTAGAGAGAGGTTACTTTTATTTACCATTTGCAAATTTTCATATAAAAAATTGTGTGCACGCAAGCATTTAGAAAGCAGCAGCTCTTCATATGAAACCACATGTGAACAAAGCTTTTCATGCCAAAGAAAGTGTTCGCTATTTGTAATTTGCTACTATTCTTCATTGGGTTTTTTTCTGTCAGAAAATCAGTGGATGAAACAGAAACACTGCCCTGTGTCTCAAACACAAATTAAACAAACTGCAAACACCTCACAGCCTGAGAACTAAACAATGAATTACAAAATGTGTGAACGTATTTTCTTCAAATAAGAAATGCGTTGGGTATTTAAAAAAAAAAAAAACCAAACCACAGGGAAAAGAATTACAGCTATCAGACAATTGCACTTCTATCCTTATTCTGAATATTTTTTTCAGCGTGGTACCACATCATCTGAATCTTTCCCAACATTTACTACTGCTTATTGTTACTGAGCACATCTGAGGCAGAGTTAGAGACTGAAATCATAGTGATCCATAGAGTATTTAGGTACATGAGGACCAATAATACCCGAGGAATTTACTGCACAGATATCTCCATACATCTGTGTGTAAGAAACTTCTAAGACTATTCTCTAAATTTTCTGTAAGTTTTGCCTTGTAAGCATGTTGAATGGAATGAGGGTTACTTAACACCTAGGTTAGCCTCTTAAAGGCCATTTTTGTCACAACCTGCAAGATTTCTAAAAGATCATTTTCATTAACAGAAATTGGAGAGCTGTGACACTGTGTTTCTGGACCTGCAGAACAAACTATTTTCTTGTTACTAAACTGAATATTTCCAGGAAAAGTGTATGATTTCTTATACTTGCAGAAATGCTTAACCCTCATCATTTACCAATAAGTTAATTAAAAGAGCAGCAGATTGATTTTTGCAGTCACTCATAAAGCTTAGAGTTTTCTAGTTGTGTGTGCTTCAGCGGACTAAGAAACCAAATGATATTATCAAATGTTTTCTCAAAAAGGGGCTTAGATTTTATTTCAAAAAGCTGGGGAAGCTTAATAAAGCCCCTCTGGTTACAGAAAAGCTCAGAGAAGTTCCAAACCATAATCCAGAAATTTCAGCACTTGTAAAAAAAGAAAAAAGAAGAAGCAGAAGGGTGGGAAATAGTTTGCTCAGTCTTTGCTGAAGAAGACAAAGATGCTGAGGTGAGATGAGAGATCTTCACAAGTATTATGAGGTTGGTGGAAGCTTTGACTTGGAAGGTCTGTAGTGTTTGCCCTATTACAGGGTCTGTTGCAGTAATCTAGTAAAACACACATGTATTCAGTTGAAGTTTCCTGGTATAATGTGCCATGGAAAATATAAGCCAGTAATATTCATAACTGTACATACTCTAAGCTTTTCCTGGTAGCATGTTCATTCTTCATGTTGGTGAAAGCTCCTGCTCACTAACTTTCTCAGGAAACAACTTAGTGACTTAGTGACTTTTACACACAAGTGCACGTGCTCAGTGATTAGGCTGGTCTCAGTGAAGTTCCTCATTGTAGAATTTGACTCTACCTACCTGGGTTGACACTTCACTACTCTCCCAGACCATCTAAAAGGTCAAGTAAGGGTTCTGGGGGAATCTCTGAAGTACATATTAGTATACTCTCTCCTCACCCCTCCCGAGTCGATGGACCAAAAGATGG